GAGGTAGGTCTTATAGTTATAAGGCTCCTCTCCTGTAGAAACAACTACAGGAGAGTTTAGTCCGTGAGGCAGACACACTGTCTACTTTTAAGGCAAGGGTTAAAACTTTCGTTTTTTAATCAATTTTGTAGTTATAGGGGCGCAGGTTATTCTGAGCTATCTCTATGGTTGTGCTGCTTCATTCTTGCTCTCATCTCCAATTCTGCAGAAATTGTTAGTTCAATCTCTAACTGCTTCTGCTCTCTCTGCTTTTTCTCATCAGCTTCATCTGGTCTGTTCCTGTTTGGCTGTGACTCCATTCTGGAGAGAAATATCAGCTGTGCTGCTGCCATCAACTCCTTTGTTTATAGATGTTGGAGCTTGGCCTGTTTTTCAGTGTAGTCCTGTTTCTCTGACTGTGACTAACTGTTTGTGCTCCCTTTCACTTTCTGGCATGGGAGCTGGCTTGAAGCTCATCTGCCTGGCTCTCTCTTTCCTGGACTGGGCCACCTGTAGTTAGGAGTTACCTTTTGTATCTCTGCTTCTTTTTCTATGTCGGCTTCAGTCTCCTTGAACCCCAGACAGCCTTGGCAGATGGCCGCTTACACTGAGCCTTGCTCTGCTGGAGGTTTCTTGTTGTGAAAAGGAAGCTTTCCTATCCTCTGTCGCTACATGCATGCTTTGTGTGATTGCTGTTGAATAAATTAGTTTATGCAATCAGCTGGTTTTTCTTAGATAAAAAACTTTGAACCAATGAGACTGTAGGATCTGGTTGAATTGTCTCTGTAAATTGATTCTCGCTGACTGAGAAATTGGTGCTTTAAAAATAAACTGAATTGAATAGAATTATCTGTTTGAAATTAAAAGAAATGCTGCTTAAATAATTCTACCATTGGAAACACATTCCGCCTGTTTTGTGACATCAGTGACCAAAGAACTTACTTGTTTTAGGCCACAATTCAACTCTGCAGATACACTATACATACAGTAGGTTAAAGTGAGACATTTTTTTATGATTAATTTGCACGGCTTCCTGACTGCTCAAGGTCGACCACCATCAGAGAAAATACCAGGGCCAGCCTTGCTTTACATTCAGTATTATGATAAAAAATAAATGACAATATTGAGCCTCTTATAGAGCTAAGTTTTAAATATTTGTATAAAAGAAAGTGAAAACACCCGCTCCTAAGTTGTTTAAGTTTACGTCTTTTCCCAGTATTTGAAGTCAAAGGTTTGGTAAATGACATATCTGTCAACCAACAGTGAAATCAAGAAAATAAATAGCTTTTAAAATGTTCTTTATTCTCATACAAAATACCAGGCATTAGTTATGGAACTATAAATACATTTCTCAATAAGTTAGGCAATAAATAAAGTATTCAACTTACAATGATTGTTTTCATATTAGTTCAGTAAAATGTATAAACTGAAGATGATATTCAGCACTGAGATGTTTTTGCCTTGCAGTGACATGTCCACATTCAGTCACTGACTGTAGGCCGCAATCAGCCAGCTAATGGCATTAACGGTATCTAATGCAGACCACAAATTCATGAGTTACAAATTACATAGCAGGAGTCATGTGTCAGATTTTCCCTATGATAAATAACAAAGGTATTAAATGAATATGTCAGCAAGGAGAAAAAAACTATGGTCTTGTTTTGTGAAGCTGTTCATATTTGAAACCTTCTAGCTTATCATTAAATAAATCAAAAATCATAATAGACCTACCATATTATTAATTCTACAAACTAAAAGAATACTGTGCTGGGAAGGGGGGGCCTTGAATAAACAAAGTGTTCATTACGTAAATCCCAGGGAGATTACATTCAACCATGGCCACCGAGGGCCAGGCGTAAACTAGCTGCCGTTTTCAAGTACTTCCTGATAATTTAAAAGCTATTTGCAGGTTTGCCTTAAACATTAAGAAGGACAGTACACTCCACCTCTGATACAGAGGAATTCTAAGGCAAAGGTCTACAATGACGTGCTATATATTCATAAATATAAGGATGTTTTACATCTCCAACTGAGGTAATAACTCATGCACTCATACTAAAACATGCATTCAGAACTAAGGAGTCTCCCAAGTTTTGATTTTGCTGTTGATACAGTTTTTTTTTTTCCTTTTCCTCCCTCTGCTTCCATAGAATTGGAATTCCTTTGAATCATCATCCTATCGCTTCAAGCAAAATGAGTCCGAGGAGTTGGTGGAGGTAGGATTCACAAGTCCAAATATCCTTTCTCTCTTCACTTCTTCACCTCCTATTTTTAGTCTCTGTGGCTCCGGAAGATTTCATGTTTGATGAGTGAACAGCTTTTGCAATCACCATGTTGGACTGGAGTACAGATCTAAGACATAAAAAATAAACAAGGTCAACAATGCATTTTATTATCAGAAATAACCATAAAAATCTCACCAAAAATATAAACATTGTCATTTACCTTAAGGATGACAGCAATATGTGACTCTTCGTCGCTGTGGCTTTTTGCGGTGACTCCAAGATATCGGTTGTGCTGTCCTCTAAGCTGTGGAGACATAAAAATGCCATCAATAAAAGCAGGACTGGAACTTATTATTTAATGTATTTAATATTTATCCATTTCATGTCACTAGAAGAATAAGTATAACAAATTGCCCCTACTGTGGTTGCATACAGTATAGTCAGGACTAACTAGGCAATAGGATTTCTAAATATCAATATTTTTAGAGGCCTTATGGGTAAAAAGCAGGACGTGCCTTAGAAAACATCTTCAAGGATAACATCTATGGGTGATAAGTTAACCTTAGCTTTGATTTCATGACCACAATAAGCCGAAGACGCAACAAGCATTCCATTGAGCCTCAACATAAATGTAAACTTTCCAGAAATAGCCCCACTGCTAATAAAGCATGTCTGTTCTATCAAGCTCTACTGAAAAATACAGTGTCGGCTTTCGTCGCTACCCTCATACAGCGTTGTCACTATCACAGATCTAATCATTCTGTCTCCTCTCTGGCCTAACCTCTGTGTCAACATATTGGAATGCACATTCAGAATTAAAGAAGTAGAAAAGCAGCTCTGATTCTTGCAAACTCAGAATAAAAATGGAGGACTGACTTTGCTCCAAGATTGGTAGGTAGGTAAATAGTATAAGGTCTGTATAAGAAAGCAAAAATATATATATATCCCTCACCTTTTACGGCAAAACCTGTTGCAGGTTTTATCAGCAGGATCACGACATTCACATCTCTTGGTTGACCGGCGGCGACGAGACACAGAGCTTCCCAAACCATGAGGAAGCAGTTTGCTATCAGGGAGAAATCAATCATTTCAGATGTTGAAAGCTTAGAGAAGCTTACTAAAGCTCACTACCAAAAACAACCATTTAAAAAAAACTCCGAAGTCAGGGGATCCTTACCTTGGTGTATTGACCCAGATTATGTCCAGGTGACAGAAGTAGATGCACTCTCTGTCCTCCCAGTTGTTACAGGAGCATCGCTTGGTCCTGATGTGGTGCGGATGAATCGCTTGGACCGGCGCCTCCAGATGGTCTGATAAAGGGAGCCCACAGCCTAATAAGAAAAAACGCATTCACTGATTAGAGAAGTGTGTACTAAGACTGTACACATAATCACAGAAACACACAAATGGAACCAATCCTGGGGATTATACATCTATCTGTGCACAAATTTTAGAGATTATTTGAATCCATTTTTAATTCAAGATATAAATTAATGCAAGTTATATCTTTGCCACAGTCAATATATAACAATGCTGTTCTCATGAAATGTTTAAACTCTAATTAAAGGTGTGTTCTTATCAAAGCCAAGGGTTCCCTGGAAGTCTGCAACCTTTGGTTTTTGTTTATACTCTGTGCTTGCTGGTCAAAGTCTACAGAATTTAATTATAGCATCTTTATTTTCATAAAATATAAAATGATCCTCTCAGGGTTGTTGTTTTTTTTTTTTAACTATGCTCAAAGTCTACAAGTATTTTAGAGTTTTTTTGTTAAACGTGAACACTCACCATCTCGTAGAGACATGCAGATAATAAATAAACACAGCATCTTCCTCAGAAAGGAATCCATGATTATTCTTTGATGATCAGAAGCCTTGGGTAGATATGCTCAAGGTGCTCTCGTTTCAGCAAATGTTTTTTTGGATCTGAAGGCTGGAGTGCAGCAACAGGTGTTTGTGTTCATTCCACAGCCAGGAGCGTGTACTTATATCCCTTCGGCTCCTCCTACATGTGTGGAACTTGGCTGTTGTTACACAAGATGCCGAGACTCCACCTGCAAACCCCCACCCAACCGTCACATCATCCTCAACACGGTGACACACTGCATTCCAGTCACTGAAGCGAAACTGCTGTCTCCTCCTGGGATTTCATCCAGACATTAATATGGAAATTTAAATATCAAAGGCTCAAAAGCATTTTGTTGCTGAACAAAGAGTGCAGAAATGTTTCTAATTAGCTGATCTCCAATGATAACATATTTGTTAGGATATTATCCTTAGTCCTGTTTTCTCTGTAATTATGATTTTATGCGTCATATATGAGAAGTAAGGTCAGATATAGGGGTTGAATACTGGAGAAAAGTTAAAGGTGGTTGTTAAGAATGTTTACCCAGCTTTTAAAAAAAAGAGAAATCAGCATTATTGCGTTTTTTATTATTCTTTCAGACTGTAAGGTGAGCTGTTTATTTTTCCTTTCTGCCGTCCCTCAGTGGAACTGGGACAGCAGGGAAAAGATGAGCAAAAACAGAAGCTTTGGATGTGCTGCCCTGCTGATAGGAGGATGAAAAGAAGGGCTGTCAGCACCCCCCGCAGGAAAGTGAGGTCATAGCAATGTGGCCTCACAAAAACAGTGTCTGCTGCATGCAACACAATTTGACCTTCATGGAGAGATATGTAGCAGACTGCCAAATCAGCTCTGTGCAGCCCACACACACCACCAAGCACATCCTATACTACAGCCCCCTCCTCTTCCAACACACAGCTACATTATCACTAATATGGGTTTGAGGAATTAAAGTATGTCACTGAAACTTGTTAGGTATTTCTTTCTTTTGTCGGCTGTGGAATGTACTGCTTTCTTTAAATCCACAGGCATTTACCTGTGAAACTAATCATACATGACAACTGATAACAGAATACTTATGAAAGAAATGAATGGACTCCAATCAAATAGTTACTGTAGTAAGGGTCCAAAACAACATGATCTGTCTGGATGAGGCTAATATTGTTCATTACTTTTTGACAAAGAAAAAATGAAATGGCTGCAAATATAATTATTCATAGGTTAATGGTTAATACACCTATTCCTTATTTGTGAACATTAATAATGTTTTTGATAAAAATCCTTTCGCAAAAATGCCATCAGAACACTTTAATTCAATTCAGTTTATTTATATAGTACCAATTCACAACACAAGTCATCTCAAGGCACTTTACAGTTCACCAGATCATCAAGTCAAATTCATTCAAAGTTTTCTATCTAAGGAAAACCAGTTGATTGCATCGACTTATTGACTCTTCAGCAATCTCTCACACTAAGCATGCTTGTGCGAAAGTAGAGAGGAAAACCTCCCTTTTAACAGGAAGAAACCTCCAGCAGAACAGGCTCAGTGTGAGCGGCCATCTGCCGCCTGGGGTTAATAATATTAAGTGTCTCAGCCCCCTCCCCTGCGCATGTTCAGAAAGGTCAAAACAGACAGCAGCAAAACATTTCAAAACAAAGGGTGTGAAGAGCAGTGTTTTCAACTTAGTGCTTTTGTCGCAACTTTTCAGACCCTTTCTAGTAATTTTATTTGAAAAAAGTGCCTAGCGCCAAATGTAGCGACTTTTTCCTGCTACTGGAGACTTAGGCAACAACATCTAAAAGCAGCAAACTCTGCTCTCCAGAGCAATTAGATTGGTAACCCCGCCTCCTGCTCTCCTCTATCTTGTCTGCTGTCATGAGTCATGCAGCTATTATTTCAACCAAATGAAAAATAGAGAACAGAGAAGCAGATCATGGCTTGTCTATAGAGGAAAGAAGGACTTGGTTATTTACTTTTGCCTTCGTCTTTTTGAAAACACAGGAAGAAGCAGTCAGCTAAGTGAGCTTAGTGTTATCTTTAATTACCTTTGAGACAACATGAATAGTCAGCTGAGTACAAAACATAGAGTAGAAAACAACAAGACAGGGACAAGAAAAGAGGGACAGAACATTCTATAAAATTTTCTGTGTTTGTATAATTGGTCTCTTTTATGTGTTGTCTTCCCAATTCAGAGGGCCCCCTGCCTGTCTTTGCCTAGGGCCCCAAATTTCCTGGATCTGCCCCTGCAAGGCAGATAAATCCTCATTGGTACCTTGTGCTTCCTGATGTCCAATGTGACAACAGTAAATTTTTGACCTTCCAGATGGTCCTTTGATAATTTCTCATCCAATATTTTCCTACACATCACTCTGCATATCGCTGTTATAACAGAACTTACCTAGTGACTTTCATCATAGTTTTCATTCTTCCTTACATCTGCTAACCTCCTCACTGCATTCTCATTTGCAAGCATCATGATCCATTTATCTGTACATCACCTCTCAAAGGAACCATCCCTCATCCTTCCTTTGGGTTTTAAAACTTGTTGCTAAAGATGGAGTTCAACTTTGAAATGTGACTTCGAAAATCTAATAGCATTCTTTGCTGTGTCGACTGTTTCCGAAAGAAATCTAATTTTGTCCTTGAATTTTGTCATGTGTTATTACAATACAGGTAAAACCCAAATCCTGGGACATAATGCAAAAGACCAACGAATAGTATTATGTCAAATAAAAGGAAAATGGTAATGGTGTTTGTTACATAAAAAATATCCAGTTTGGCCATTTTTCTTTGCAAAATACATCCAAATTAGTCATATTGGATTGACTCCCTGTGTAAAGGTTAATACTCAATTTTCATATAAATTCAATGATATTTGTGTCTTTAAAATTAAAGTGGAGTAAATACATTATCAAGACTCTGTATTTGGATGTACATGTTTTAAATAATTTTTTTTATGTTTTATATAGAAACCATATTTGTAATAAACAAAATCAACTTTCCAGATATAGGCACAATTTTTCATGTCCGACATATAAGGTGCAAACTTTGTTTAACTTTCTTTTTTTTTTTATCGAGAACTAATGGAAAAAGCTGAGCTAAATAAAACTTCTATTGATGTAGCACATGTTAGTTCAAATAACGTGCATATTTATTTTTTGTGTTAACTCATGCTGCAGTATAATATGATGTACTTTGTGGTTGTTCCAAATTGTGTATGTTAAAAAAAAAAAAAGAATTACAAGATGATGTACAAGATGATGAGTTTTACACAGTATTTACCATAAATGGTTTTAAATGTATCCGATGCAGAACACAGACCAGACGGAGCAAATGTAAAAACAGGAAAGACTGCAATTGTTTAGTTAATGCTGGATGGAAAATGTGGTTGAGGAATTTTTTTACATCAGCGCTCCAGTGGAAATGTGATAGATAGATAGAAGGTGCTTAGAGAAACAACAGGAGGAAAAAACATGACTGGAGCATTGTGTGCTAGTTTTGGAGGGTTAAGGTTAAGAGGAAATGCCACAAGGGAGTCAGAATGTGGACAGACTGATATTCAATCACTGGTTGAGGTAAAAAAAAAAAAAAAGTTGTGATCCAGAGTAAATGTGCGTCGGATAGAGAATGAACTCAATCTGAAAGTAACCTTTAGCCCCCATTTCCTTTTAGCCTGCTGCTTGGCAGTGTGGCAAGGTTAAAAAAAAAAGTGTCCTTATCAGGCCGTCACTTCCGCCTGTCGCTGGGGAGAAAGAGGAATGTGAGACGGTGTGATGACAAACAAATATCCAAGCCATTATTACAGAAACATTTAAAATTCCTCGAGGATGAGGCCTAATGTTTTGTATTCTGAGGCCTGCTTAGATTCTAAGTATCTACCTTCATTACTGGTAAACATATCACATCAGATCCAAGAATAACATACTAGGAAAGGTTCCTTAAGGCCACCAAATGGAATGAATCAGATTCTGTGACTTTACATCATTTTAGAAAGTTATCTTAGACCTCTTAATTAATTTAAATTTCCAGTACTCCTCCTTCAAAGTCAGCTTGCTATATGGACTTTGACCATTGTAAGGCCTTATTATGTTTAATACATGACAACCAATAACAGTACAAGGACATTGGATGCAGGTTTACATGTAATGCCAAAATTAGTTTATATTAGTTAATATTATTTAAAAAAAAATATGTATCAAAATGTATAAAACCAATGCACTAGTGTCAAAAAGGGTTTTATTTCCTTTCCTTTTAAAGTATGTCACAAGATGGCTGTGGGGACTGAAGCTATGGTTTTAACATAGAAACTCTTCTTTATTGGTGAGCAACTTTCAAAGACTACAGGATTGGATGGCTGTTAAAGACAGGGGCCTGTAGAAGATTATAGATAAGACTTCCACCAGATGATCTGTTCAAGTCCTCAGCATCTTTCCTGAGACAGTAATGGGTCAACAGCATCCCTTGTGTTCACAGCCATTAGTATTTGCTGCATCTTAAGCTCCTCAGCAACAGATATTGGTTGCCGTGTCGATATATTGAGTTCACCTGAGTTAATTCTACCTCAAACCAATTAGAGAGGAGCCTCAGCTTCATGATTGGTGATGTGCTGGTCCGCCTGCTCCACCTATGCGGAGATGTTGCCTTGAAAAAAAGTCATTGGTACTGCTCCTTATGTAGCGTTGGCCTCTGTAATGCATCACTTTTAGAATGGCTGTGGTAGGACTCCACAGTGTCCCGGTTTGGTTGTTGTAAACGTAAAAATTTGGTTAGTAGGCAGAAAAACCCTGATTTAAAGAAAAACATTCATTTGTGATATATACACATGGTAAAATCATTTGGAAATGGCCTAAATCTATTTCTTTATGGATTGGAAGAAGCAGTTCCTTCTTTCCCTCCTTGCCTTTTGCAAACGCATAGAGCAGATGTAAGATGCTAAACAGCAAAACACTATCGCTTCTACTTTTTTAATGGTGGTTAAAAACATTAGCTTTCGATCTTTCCTTAAAAGAGCACTGTGTAACTTTTCGCCACAAGGGGCGCTGTCGCAAAAGTAAACAAACAGTTAGCCGACCAGCCTCCTGTAGTGGTTTCCATGCTGTCGCAC